TCTAGGCCCAGGTTCTGGGTGAAAGGTCGTCTGCCGATGCAGACCAGCAGCACGTCACATGTCAGAGTCTCGCTCTTCCCTCCAGCTGCCGCCTCCACCCTGAAACACGCATAATACCCACGTGGTTACACAACAAAGCTCCCCATCCATATTTCAAATTTCATGAGTTTATGGGTGTAAAACAGCCCAAAAGAAAAGGCATCAAAGAGTCCTGAAAGTCTGAGTCTGGTTTTTCCACTCACGCCACATCGATCTTGCCATCGGGCCTCTTGGTTGCTCCCATGACTTTGGTGCCGAGCTTGAATTTGAGGCCCTGCTTCTGCAGGATGCGCTGGAAGTTCTTGGAGATCTCCATGTCGATGCCCATACCACCCACGTGGCCCAGGAACTCCACCGCTGTGACGTTGGCACCCAGACGCTGCCACACTGACCCCTGCAGGATGGCAGGACAAACACTTTCTAAAGAAACAGAGCTGAGGCAGGAAATGTTGCCGATGTAGTCGACATGATCATGTGTTTGTGGGTGAATCAGTCTGTAGTGATGCTGACCAGCTCCACCCCGATGACTCCAGCTCCGATCACAATCAGCTCCTCTGGTACTTTCTTCAGGGAAAGAGCTCCTGTCGATGACACGACGGTCTCTTCATCAATCTAAAGAAACATATTTGAACACACTTCTTTTAAAAATCAACCCAGAATTATCTTTTAAAAATCAAGTGCATGTGAGTTTTTATGGAGTGGTGAAAGGAGGGTGACGAGACGAGGACGCCTTTTATTAGACACCTGCAGCACTGACCCTTCCTCGCCTCCTCCACCTCCTTTGCTGAATACGACAAGCAAAAAACCTGCAACTAGTGAAATGAAGTATGAACAGCTCACAAATTCTCACACCTGGATGCCTGGAAAGGGCGTGACCTCTGAGCCTGTGGCGATGAGGATGTTCTTGGTGTTGATGACCTGCTCTGTACCATCAGCTGTTGTGGCGGTCACTTGGTTCTTCCCGGTTAACCTTCCAAAACCACTAACGTGAGTAACCTGTAGGGAGTGACGTCACACCACAGACACTGTTAAAAGTGGTTCAGATGTAACATCTGTGTAAACCAGCACTAACGCAGAGAGGGAAGACTGACTTTGTTCTGTTTGAATAAATGTGCGATTCCTCCAGTCAACGCTTTGACCGCCCCACTCTTCTGAGCCATCATCTTCTCCAGGTTCAACGAGATGCCCGAAACTGGAAGACAAAGACTT